TCTCTGTGGAGAGAGCTATGGTTTTGAAAAAAGCTAGTCTCCAAGGTTGTGAAATAGGAAGAGAGAGACCAGGAACAACTAGATGGCAAAACTGAACTAAGAAAGGTTACCTTGGTTAGTGAAACATAGAGATCGTTAAAAAGGAGATAATAATTATTAACACTTATGGAGTGAAGAACAATGGGCTATTACATCAGTTGAACCCAAAGCTGCCTAAACAGTAATACCACAACCACTGCACTGTAGAGCAGGAATCAAACAAGGATGTGTCTAGCCGCAGGCAAAAGGGCAGCTTCCCGCTTAATACATGCACCCCAATTTGAGAAATGGTGCATGTTGTATGTGAGAAGCAGAATGGAGGCACTGAGCAGCTAGCTGCAAGAGATGTAGTTAAAGTGTGTCAGTTTCAATCCAAAATGTTACTGTTTAAAACCGGGGTGGGCAAAATGCGGCCCGTGGGCTGGATGCGGCCTGCCAGGCCATTCTATCTGTCCTGCAGGGCCCCTAAAAAATTTAGAAAATTAATATTTATCTGCCCCTTACTACCTGTCATGTGGCCCTTGATGGGTTGCCAAAACTCGGTAAGCAGCCCTCCTCCCAAAATAATTGCCCACCCCGGTTTAAAACCACAGTACTATTTTGGATTTGGATTTAATAGCATTTTTTTGCAAGTACAATGTTCAAGAAACCTTCGCTGATACCTGTGTACACCATTTAATACTGGCAAAGATGTCATGAAGCCCAAAGGCAGACAATTTTTTTTATTTCTTATTTTGCACCTTTTATCTTAAATAGCAGAAGTCATCAAAGTCAGTTTCAGTTTTATGAAGTCAATTTCATTCTCTGCTTCCTAGGTGCTAAACTGTTTCTGATACCATTTTTGCATAGATATTCCATGTACCTGTTTCCACCACCTGTATTTTTTTTTTTTAGTAACAGTATTTTTAAAATGCAAATGACCTTGTCTTAGGTTTTGTAAAATTTCATTTTTACAAAATGTAAACGTTAAAGCACGTTTTCACTTGGCAATATTGTTTGAAGCAGGGGTGTCAAACTCACCCAGTGCCCTCTTCCCCCCACCGTGCCCCTGGCTGGATCCAGACTGTGAGGCTCCAGACTGTGAGGCTCCTCTTAGATCAGATCTAGACATGGTGGCAGGGTGAGTGTCCCTACTGGGGCTCCATACCTTTAGATTTTGGTAGCTAGCCCCACCCCTACTCCTGAATTCCCTTCTTTTCTAGGAGCCATGTGGGCCAGACAACACAACTTGGTGTGATGAATCTGACCCATGGGCGGTCTGTTTGACACCTCTGCTTTAAAATATGGCAGCAATAAAATTATATCTTGTCTCCTAACTTCTACCACTAATTTTTAATAGTTTTATTAATAAAATAATAAAAAAACAATATATTATAAATGTGCAATATTAATGTTTCCACTTATTTTTATTTATCCCTATAATCCTATAGTACTATATTTATATAATAATATATTAGGGAGAATATTTATCCCTATAATCCTATAAAGGAGAAATGCAAAGTGCTGCACCTAGGGAGGAAAAATGTCCAGCATACCTACTGCCTAGGAAATGACCTGCTTGGTGGCACAGAAGTGGAAAGGGATCTTGGAGTCCTAGTGGACTCCAGATGAACATGAGTCGGCAGTGTGATGAAGCCATCAGAAAAGCTAATGTCACTTTATTGTGCATCAGCAGATGCATGACGAATAGATCCAAGGAGGTGATACTTCCCCTCTATCGGGCGCTGGTCAGACCGCAGTTGGAGTACTGCGTGCAATTCTGGACACCACACTTCAAGAGGGATGTGGATAACCTGGAGAGGGTCCAGAGAAGGGCCACTCATATGGTTAAGGGCTTGCGGGCCAAGCCCTACGAGGAGAGAGACTAGAGAACCTGGACCTTTTCAGCCTCTGCAAGAGAAGGTTGAGAGGTGACCTTGTGGCTGCCTATAAGTTCATCACGGGGGCACAGAAGGGAATTGGTGAGGTTTTATTCACTAAGGCACCCCCGGGGGTTACAAGAAATAATGGCCACAAGCTAGCAGAGAGCAGATTTAGATTGGACATTAGGAAGAACTTCTTCACAGTTCGAGTGGCCATGGTCTGGAACGGGCTCCCAAGGGAAGTGGTTCTCTCCCCTACCCTTGGGGTCTTCAAGAGGAGGTTAGATAAGCATCTAGCTGGGGTCATCTAGACCCAG